TATAACATCTAAAATCTCCAAAGAACATCTCAAACCAAGAATCATACCAGTTCTTCTAACATGTTTTTAATCACATCCAAGGCTTCTAATCTTTTATTTACTTCTTTGACAAGTCAAATATATTAGTAAACATCAATAAAAACTCATATTCCAACATATCATTCAAAAATCCATTTCCTTCAATCTCAAATATTTCACTAATTATTTAGTTTTAAACATCCTTGAACTTTCCTTAAGCCTCTATATTACTTACGGTTTCAAAACTTGTCCATAAACTAAAGATAAACTAACTCAAAGAAATCTTATCTTGGCTAAGGGGAGAGCACGTGAACACAGAAAGAAGAAGAAGAGAGGACTTTGTTTTTCAACTTTCCCCTTTTTTCCCTTCTTAAAACCATAATAAAAATGAATTTTAAATTCATTTCCCCTTAAAGAACCAAAATACCCTCTTTATTCATCCATTGTTAGTAATTGGTCTTAAACTATATTTCCAAATCATTTATTATACTTTCCATTTATTAAAATTAATTCTCCAAATTTAAATCTTTTCAATAAAGTCACTGACCTAATATTTGGAGTATTACACTCAACCATTGGTATAGAGAATTTATTTTTGATGGTTTTACTGTTAAGTTCCCTATAATCAACATAAAAACACCAATACCCATCCTTTTTTTCATGACCAGTAAGTAAGGCAGAGCAAAGGGGCTTTTGTTTGGTTGAATAATCAAAGAAGAAAGCATGTTAGTAATATGTTTCTTTACCTTTTCTTTCTGAAGATGAGAAAATTTGAACAGCCGTAGATTAACTAGAGTAAAGTCGGGTTCTAATTGAATTGAGTGATCATATGTTCTACTAAGTGGCATGCCTTGACGTTCAACAAAAACATATTGATATTGTAGGAGCAAGGGTTGGATTCTCAAAGGAATTTTGGGTTCAGGTTATTTCACTGTAATCATGAAAATGTGTCCCGTCTTGCTAGGGTTTATAGCAGTAAGTTTATATAGTGTGGCTCTCAAGATAGGCTGAAGTATTGTAGAGGGTTTGTGGCCGAAAATCACAATATGTTCATTGTCTTTGTTGAAGATCATGGTCATATGGTTGAAATTAATGATAATTGGACTGAAAAGTTCCATCCAATCCACCTTTAAAACCATATCACTCCCACCTAATCGTAACACTCTAAAGTCATGTGTAAAATTGTGCCCCTACATTGACCAAGTCATTTTGTTTCACTTAGCTGAACTAAATAATTATTGCTCATTTGCCACTATAATAGTTAAACGATGAGTGGTAACAACATCCAATACTTCTTATGCCCATATAAGAGTTAAAAAGTTATGAATGCTGCCACAATCTAATAGGATACTCAAATGCTTCTCATTTAGCAAGCGTTGAATTTTTAAGGTATTTTGACAGACACAACCATTAATGGCATTAATAGAGATTTCTAAGGTATTATCACCTTAAATCTGATCGGTCTCATGTTCCTCCAATTGTTGAACTTCATCTTGAATTGGTTCTCATTTTTCCATCAAATTCAATTGGTAGTTCTTACATTGGTGGCATGGTGTAACTTGTCGCCACATTTGTAGCATATATTATTCTGCCGCCTATATTCCAGTAGGTTTGGTTTAGTTAAGTTGGTGTTTGTTTTGGAAGAAGGGCAAGTAGTTGTTGGATTTCAGAATAATGTTTGGGTTGGGTAGGGTAGGGTAGGTTTCGGTAGTTCATACACTGTTTCTTGTTTTCAAACTTTGCAGAGAGCTCATAAAGTTTTGCTTATCGACTAGCTTCAGCAACACTGTTCGAGTTCAAAGCTTTCATCCTATGCTTTAGTTCTTCCTTCAACCCACTAATAAACATAGAAACAAAGAACTCTTCCCCCAAGGTATGATTTTGCATTAGCATATAAGGCTTTAGCTCTTTAAACTTGACTTGGTAATCATCCTATGTCCCTCTGTGTGTTAGTTTGCTAAATTGTGCAATGATGTCAGGGATCGATCGATCATTGAATCTATGACACAAATCAGCCTTAAACTCGTGCCAAGGCACATGGTGTTTCTGCATGATATACCCATCAAACCATGTCTCTGCTCAACCCTCCAAATACATCGTTGCCACTTCCATACACTATTCATCATGTAACTACACAAGCAAAAATACTTGTGACACTTTTGGATCCATTCCCTTGGGTTCACCCCATCAAGGAAGGGTGACTCAATTTTAGGCTTATGTAATATTGATCCTGAGGTGTGAAAGGATCTAATTTGGCCTTTCCTTTCTTCGTCCGATCCCCTAGTTTCTGTCTCAAGATACTATTTTCACCTACTAGATTTTCAGTCCCAATATGTTGTTGTGTAGGTCAAAAATCATCAGGTTTAGACTTCAAAATACCATGCACATCCATTTTATATGAAAAGTGAGATTTATCATTAATAACAGTCACCTAAACATGTTTCTTTCCAATAGATTTCATTTCAGTAGTGTTTTGTACCTGGTCACTCTTAGAAATAGTTTGCTCTTAGTTCTCATTTCTTCTTGTCAGAATCTTCAAAATCTCATCTACATAGCCATAGGTAGTGTTCATTAGATTCTCCAAGTTGGTAATGCGTTCATTTTGTGTTGCGAACCATGTCGATGTTTTAGTATCATATGTTGTTTGTTTCACTAACATTGTGAGATCTTCAATCTACTTTTGGAGTGCGTACTGATCTGTAGGTACGTTCATTATTTGTTTTTCTTTGGTGGCATACCCCGATATCAATATGATAGGAATAATGGTTCTTGACACCAATTTGTTATGGTCAGAGGTTTTGAGAAAAGAAGAGACGAGGGGTTAAAAAAGAGAAGTAGAGTTGTAGAAAATAAAATTCTCATTCATTCGAAAGATGAAAGTGATTCCATTGTACAAGATCTTATTTCTTTACATTTGTAATATTTGGACGCCCAGCTGGCAGTACTAATAACTACCTTAACATTTGTTTTGTACAGGTGTCCTTCCATTTGGCTTGGGCTTGACTAAGGCCCGTGTTTCCCTTCTTTAGGTAAGCCTGTTTCATTCCTCATTTTAATCTTCCCCGTGCAAGTCACGTGCTTCTATTTTAATTCCTTCTCATCGAAATTTCCCAAATCACAGCTAGCAATCCCTAACCCTTCTTCAGAATTCCAAATTCTCTCTTCTTCGTGGCCTCCCTCTTCTCTCCCAACTGTAACACATGATTACTTGCAAACACCAAACCGAGCAAAAACATGGTAAAAGAATTATGACAGATGCCGTCGAACAAAAAACAACCAGCAGCCATAGAAAACCGACCGAAAACAAATCAACTTCACTAAAAACTGACCGAAATAAACCCTAATACACTGTCTATAAGTCACGCTATTGCTAAGAAGAACGAGGGAGAAGAAGATGAACTTAAGGAAATAGAAATAAACAAAATGAGAATGAAGAGTGTTCAACCGAATTCTAACTGATATTTCAAGTCTTAGTTTACAATACAAAAGCCTACAGCTTATATAAACACACAAACCAACTAACAGCCCACGTAGCAGAATAACAATCAAGCCCATTCAGTTATAACAACTTTACAACACGCAGACTTATATGCACTCTAAACTTTAACTAGATCCGGAAACTTGTTGGAGTTATCCCTTAAACCATAACGAGATTTACCACCACCTACACCTTCGGCATTTTACTTCATGTTTCTTGCATTACTGCTTCATACAAGCCTGTTAATTGAGATTTCTGAAGAATTCTCGTTTTTCATGTGTCCTTATACGACCATCTAAAGACTTCCCACACAGGTTTCTCTTTTTGCAGAACTTACAAACCAACTTTTCGTCACCTTTTCAATGGAGAATTGATCACTGGACAACAGAAACAATATCAATAATTCATTTCTCACCTCAAAGCAACATTTTTTTACCATCTTTATTGTGACCAAGAGGACATCTTGAAGCATATAAATCAGAAATCAAAATCCGGGTCACCAAGTTTTGAATGAAAACAAAACAAAACAAAACTTCACATTAGGTGGGTGGCTTGAAATGGCGATGAACAATCGGGCGTATAAGAAGAACACAGTCATAGCATAAAACCAAAGACTATTTCTCTCTACGCTCCCCTTGTTTTTGTGTTGCATTTGAAGTGGAATTCCATGCATGGAAGCAAGGACGGAGCTAGGATTTTAGTTGAAGGGAGGTATAACTAACTATAGAAAATGAAGGGCAAAATCAAAATTTAAAGGCCTAAATATATAATTGTCCGGGGGAGAATGCCCCCACAAGCCAAGCTCGTGCATAGCTCCGTCACTGCATAGAAGCAAATGCTTAAAAAGGGTAGGAAAGATAGACTACAGGTGTAATTAAACGAGAACCATCCGGTGATTTATTGAACGGTGGAGATTTTGGTGATCCCAACCGAGTGAGAACTTTGGCACAATGTCTAATTTTCCTGCTTTCCTAGTAATACAAACAATGCCATCCCATTTTGCCCAAAATGCTAACAAGTATTAGAACCAGCACAATACCTTTCATCAAGCCTAGAATCCGAATTCCCGTGTTTATTAACACAATCAAAACATGTAGATCATCATAAAACATGAAATTCAAAGGCTTAACAAGCACAAGACAACGACCTACGTGGAACTTCATGCACCTCTTCATTCGTCATCAAAACAATTACTCCAAATGGAAAACTGGACCCCACTTCCACAATCAAATGTTGACAATTTAAGTATTATATACAATGAACACAAGTAAAGAGTTGAACATTGCAACTTTGGATGATCGAATATAAACAGTTAACTACTAGGAAGGCTATATATCAATGAATTTGGAGGATAATATTTAATAGCAATGTCTATCAATTATGCATTAGAAGATATATATATTCGATACGAATAGTTTTCTTATTCTTATGCCTAGCGAGTTCATTGCGCATTATGGACAGATATTCTAATTCTCCTGAGTACATGAAAAAAAAAAGAATTGATTTATGAAGTTCTTCACTGGTCAAATCATAATAATAATGTTCTCAATTGCCTGTCTGACGAAATCATGTTGGCAATCTTATGAAGTAGCTTGGATGCAGCACGACCTGAGGTCCATTCTTGGATATTATGAAGACTACCTGCAAAGTCCGTGAACAGTCCATCAACCTTAATCTTGTTTATCCAGAAATCATACTCTTCATATGGATCCTGTTTGAAGTCGAAGTTCAAGAACAAGTTCTCGTTTCGAAATGTGTATGGATGCACCTGAAAATGGTAGAAAAATAATCAAACCAGGCCATTCCCAAGCTGAATGTGTAATGATCAAGTCCTAGAAGGCTAGAATGTCTCTCCCGTGCAGCATATATCCAAGGCATTATGGGTACTCTGATTGAGAAAATGAGGTCTCTCATACGTGATGAGTCTTGGGTTTGAACCAAATATGGGGCATCATTGGGTAATATTAATGCCTAAAGAGAGTGATACTTTGAATGCAAGTGCATGCCGAACAATATCATGACCAAATTTCGTATCCAAGGATGAAGCAGAAGGAACTTTTTGGAATCCGATTGTTACCTGGAGGCCATGAGCATGCGCTTTAGCTATAAGACCAGTGTTACTAGTTTCACTCAAGTGATTATCTGTTGACGGTAGAATTGTCCCCTTCGAAGGTCCAATTCCAACCACATACTTCTTTATGAAAATCAAGTAACTATCTGAAGTAATCTCAAAGAACGACTGCAAAAACATTTAACTTCAGTAAACAAGCACGTGAACTTTAATAATATCCATATCTGTATTCGGCACTTGCGTTAATTACAGATAAGTAGTGGTTCATAAACCTGATTAGTGTCCTCTGTTCTTGTTGTCAGATCAGCAATTAACAAAATTTTTGGCATGTTTGTGAGGTTTGCAATACATGTGAGAGAAGTTGGGGCAAATGACTGGATAAATATGGGTTGCTTAAGCCATTCTTTTGACATATAAGACCCTTTATATCCATAATTCTCTAGTGTCTCCACGAATTTGTCCTCAAACTTCTTTCCATCTGACCATTTCACCTGTTGTAAGGGCTTAAAAGATGAAAATTCAAAGAAGCACCCTATTAAATTAGTAATTACTAATTACCATTGTTGCCCAAACTTGGATTATAATCATAAATTTAGGTTCGAATATGTGTCGAGAATGTATACCAAACTTGTATATTTCAAGGAAAGTGAGAGTCTGGTAATGGTTAACAGCTACTTACGTGTTGATTGATAAAAACTGGATTCTTGATCTCTGGATAGATTCCAACAACTCTTTTAGCATGCAGTGCAACTGAGATGAAGCCATCAAAAGTAATCAAATAGAATTTCCCTGCATAAGCAAACCAGAAATTATCCATAGCTAATTCTTAAGTTGGCAATGCATATTCACGATTAGGTAGAACAATGGTGAACAAATTAACATCAATGAAATAAAATTGGAAAAACAGACCATTGAATTGTTGATCTCGAAATCCAAAGCGTTGATTCATTCGTAACTGCTTCAGTTCCTCCGTTGTGAGATCAACTATAAGTCGTTGTCAATAAATTGGAAAAATGAGTAACTTCAATATGAGTCCAGGTAACAAAGCACATCAAACAACCTTGTAAATATGGATGTAATAAAATGCAAACATAAAAATAGAAAGGATTGTTTTAATATACCGACAAACCACCCAGTGACGTTTACACCTTAAACTTCATATGTTCTTTTACGATTAGCAAAATGCTTATGATTAGCAACGTCGGTGGTGTTATCAAGTATTAAGTCATGGAGGCATATTAAGACACCATCTTTAGAGGAAAGGATATCGGATTCAATGAAATCCACACCCTCTTCAATAGCTCTCTGCAAGAAACGTACAGCGTGAATCACGTTAATGAACAGCATATTCAAGTTGAAAGGAAGGATGAGATAAAATCCAAGAATCAGATCAAGAGTCAAGACAAAGAAAGATGCCTTGTATGCAGCAGTAGTTTCTTCAGGAAGCTCCCCATTAGAGCCTCAATGAGCAATATTATATGGTCGAATTGCTTGCAGGGGCTTTCGATTATGTGTATCGGCCACTGTACTAGGAGGCGGATGAAGCAGTGGTCTACCAACACATCCCCAATCACTGAAATAGCTATGAATGGGACAATGATGCCTGCTAAGACAAAACGACTCATTAATTTATTTTAGCTCATTCTGAAACTATGATTTATGGAAATTCTACCCCAAAATGGGCACCCCACAACCTCTGAAGTATATCTATGTCCCACATTGATACAAAGCGTACATCCAAATCTGAATATGGTAAACCCAAACTGAAGTGTTGAATTCAATGTTAAATGCATAAAACAAAGAAGAAGGATTTAAAGAAAGCAATGGCATTTACCGATCCAATTAATTGAATTGTGCTGCTGTTGACTTGTTCGTAGATCTCATTTAGTTCTTTGGGTCCATCCATATGCATTTATAGCGGCTAAAGAGTTGAGTGCTTTGTTGATAATGCTACAACTCAATTATTATATTACTATTACTATTACTATTTTAGATATGTATACCATTTTTTTATGTGGGCTAAAGAGTCGACTGTATAATCTTACAAGTTTTATACTATTATCGATCTGTATACCATCAGCGGGTCAAGAGATGATTACTTTGTTGATAATAAACTTTTTTTTTAGAAAAAAAAAATGCTTGAAATGTTGGGCATTATATTAACGTGGCGCGGACCTTACTCAAAGTGATCCTAAACCTAGTCATAGTTGGGGTTCGAGGAGGTTCCTAAAACTTTTGCACCTCAAGGTTTGGGAATCCTTGAGAAGCAGACTGTTGCTTTTGCATAATTATAGTTTTTGTTCAAAACAGGTGCTTCCTACTATACACATACTGTAGAAGTCCTCTGCTACTTTAAAAAGTGAGCCGTAAAATATTTTATAATAAAGATTAATTTCTCAAATTTGAAATTATAAAGCGTCTACGAGATTTCTTTTACCAAAATTCACCATAAAGATATTGTCAAAATCTTCGTTTACAACTTTCTCTGTCATTTTCTCGAGAATCAAACAGAAAGTTTATTTTCCCTTCAAATGTAAATATTGTTAGGGTACAAATATTATACATGGACGGACCTAAATAATATTCATACTTGGGACTCCGAAATTTTGAGACCATGTGACGGATCACATTCTACGCTTGTCATTGGACTAGCCTTCTTGCTACCATCATTCAAGTTGTTTTCCTGTATGACACTCATTATCCAAATTAACCTCCTTTTCAAACAAAAATCTACCCATTTTAAGACTTACCAATAGGGGAGTTTTATTGGGAGATGCCTAAAATAAGGCTAATAAACAATGTGATCAGTAAAAAAGGTTACAGGTTAAAAATGCTACCTACAATGTTATAAGATGGAATCGGAAAAGTGATTAGTCAGAGTAACATAATATGTTGCACTAAAATATTATACAGGGTAAGAAAATGAGTTATAAACGGTAAATATTATGAATACTATTAACATTTTAGGTTGGCCTAAAAGTTTACCAGAGTTTAAGCTAATGGGGCCTTAGACATTCACACGATAAGAAAATAAGTTAAAAGATGAAAATATTATGAATATATATAAGACATACGGTTTCGCCCAATAATATCACGTTTCACTAAGAAATAGGTTGCGATCTATAATGATAATATTTTTTAATAAAATAAGCGCTCAAGAATGTCATGATTCACTAAGAAAGTAAGTTATAATCTGAAATCTTAATATTTTTAATAATAAAATGGGTTGCGCCTAAAATGTTATCAGAGTTTAAGTTGATTGAGTCTTATATTTTCCCACGATAAGAAAATAAGTTAAAAGATGAAAATGTTATGAATATATATAAGAAAATTGATTGTGTTCAAGAATATCATGGTTCATTAAGAAATAGGTTGTGATATGTAATTTTAATATTTTTATTAATAAAATAGGTTGCGTCCAAGAATGTCATAATTTACTAAGAAATAGGTTGTGATCTGTAATGTTAATATTTTTATTAGTAAAATAAGTTGCACCAAATAATGTCATGGTTCACTAAGAATATTAATATTTTTATTAATAAAATGGGTTGCGCCTAGAATATTATTAGGGTAAATAATAAATCTGGTTGCATCCAATAATATTATCGGTGAAGAAGTATCGATATCTATTCAAAGTGAATTGAGAAAAAAAATATTTTGAAATTTTAAATATCGATACTTAATATATTATTATCAGTAATTTTAAAAATTGAAAAAGTTAAAGATAAGATGGAAAGTTAAAATATCGATACTTAAGCGGTAATGATAGATACTTCTAAAAATTCAATAGTTGATAAAAAGATCAAAATTTAAAATTTTGATACCTATGTGATGATGACAGATACTTTTATATATTGAAAAAGTTTATGAATATGATCGATAATTAAAATATCGATACATACACTACAACAAATTTACTTATTTGTGGCATCTAAAATATTGTCACTAAAACTTATATTTATGTAACTATTTGTATTTTGTGACGTAAAAATTGACGTCACGGCAAACATCATCCTAGGTGTGTCACTAAATGTCAAATGTGACGATATATATATATTTTTTTCACGTATTACAAAATATATAGTGACATTAATGAATAACGTCATATTATAATTTATATTCAATGGCAATCAATTATTTCATGAAATTATATAAAATATTGTCATTATTTATTTATATCGTCACCAATAATATAGTAATTTTATTCTGTAAATAAAGAAAATAAATCGTCACATTTTTTTATTAAAAATTTTAAAAAAATTATATAAATTACTTTTTTATAAATTACATTTAAGGACAAAGATTTTTATAAACTATAATAATGGACAAATCTTTTTATAAATTATAATAGAAGATAAATCTTCTTATAAATTACAATAAAGGACAAATCTTTTTATAATTTAAAATAGAGAAAAAAATATTTTTATAAATTACAATAATGACATATATTTTTTGCAAATTACAATAACAACTCATAATTTTACATATTACAATAACAACCTATATTTTTGCAATCACTACATTTTGATCCCTTCTGTGTAGAATGTCAAAAACTAGCCCACATATCTCAACCTCGGTCGTCGCCACTTCATCTCGGTTGCCATTATAAAATCTTGTACATACAAAAAAATTTACTAGAAGCAAAACATATTAATGAATGATCTTTATTAAATTTAATTAAAGTAATGCATTAAAAAGAAAGAATATTATATATTTTAACATTGCATATATGACCATAAAATAATAAAAAATTGTTGGTTCAAATAATATAACATACCTCCAACTCCAATTCCAAGCTCCATCAGTCATTGAGAGTCTCACTGCTTTTATTTACAATGTGTCTGACAAAATTATAAAAATATTATGGTTATAACTCCAACCAATAAACTTTTCTTAACTCAACCAAAATATCGAAAAACAAAAGAAATCAAATTTATAAAAAGTTAAAAGAAATACATTTATATGCAACAGCATCTGATATACAACACGACACAAAGACGACGACAACAATCCTTCAGATTTCACTATACTGACCACTTTTTTTCCCTGTTAGAATTAGTTCTATTGGGGAGATGATGGTGGTTTAGAAGGAAAAAGAACAAAAGAAAAAAGAAAAATTAAGAGAAAAGTATATGCCATTGTAAAATCAAAAAGCCAAGTTTTTTTTATTGATGATTTCTATCAAAATATTATCGAAAGTGAACTCAAATCTAAAAAATCAATAATGGAAAATAGAAAAAACTATGCGAAAATTTTAAAAACACATAAAATAAATTATCATGATCTCAAAAACGGGAAGATAATGAAGAACAAAGGAAATGAAAGAAGAAAATAGGAGTAGAGATGAAGAGCAAAAGGGAAAAGAAAAAAAGAAAGAAGAAAAAGAAAGCAACCTGGAACGGCAGAAACAAATGAAGAAGTTAGGAAAAAAACCCCTAAATAACATATAAATAGGGAGTAGCATTTTCTTAAATAAATTTATATTTAACTTAAAGTAAATGTGCTATGATTTAAATTTGATATTATTGTTATTTTATTTAAATGAATTTTATATTATCTTTGTATCTCTTATCAATTATATGTTTATTGTATAGTTTAAATTAAAAATTTTATATTATGTATATATCAATATTTTTAAATAAAGTATTTTACCTGATTTTAAATAAATAAAATCAATTTTAGTAAGATTTAATTTTAGAGATCATTGTCTATTAAAAAAAGTAAAGATTATTGACGAACTTTTGATAAGATTTTTAATAATAACTTATTGTATAAAGTAATTTATAATTTTTTAACAAGTATATTACTCAAGAATTGCCGTAAGATTTTTGTGTTAA